GTATACTCTGCTGCTATTGGGTGGAGTGTTCTATATATGTCTGTGATGTCAAATTGGTTGATTTTGGCCTTTAGATCCACTTTATCTTTGTTGTGTTGCTTTCTAGATGTTCTATCTTTTACCAAGAGTGGTATGTTCAAGTCTCCTACTATTATCTGTGGAACTGTCTATTTCTTTTTTCAGTGCTGTTAGAGTTTATGTATTTTGGAGCAGTGTCATTGGGTGCCATGTCATATTTATTAAGGTTATGTCTTCTTGGTGGGTTGTCCTTTTAATCATTATATAATGTCTTTCCTTGACTTTTATGGTTGATTTTGCCTTAAAGTCAATTTTATCTGACATTAGTATTGCCACTCCTGCTCTTTTTGGTTACTGTTTGCTTGATGTATTTTTTTCCATCCTTTGATTTTTAATATATTTATGTCTTTGTTCTAAGGTATGTCTCTTATAGACAGCATATTGATGGGTAATGCTTCTTGATACATTCTGCCACTCTCCGTCTCTTTACAGGTGCATTTAAGCCATTTCCATTCAGTATGATTATTGATAGGTATTAGTTTATTGTTGTCATATTGTTTGGCTTTTTTTGTGGCGCTGTTGTCTTTGTTCCTTTTACTCTCTTTTGCTGAATTCCTTTTGTTTGTTGATTTTCTTTTCTTTCATTACTATAGATTTTGTGTTTATTGAGGCTTTATATTTTTCTTCTTTGTATTCTGATAGTAGGTTTGTTTACTTTCTTTGTGGTTACCTTGAAACTTACCCTTATCTTCCTAAGTTTGAGCCAGTCTTTTATTACTTATATTGCCTTGACATCCTCTGCATTTGAAAGTTCTGTACCTACACTGTTTATTCCCCCTTTTATTGTTTTGATGTCATCATCACTTACAGGTTGACCTGTTTCTCTGTTTTAAGCCTTTCAGCGTTGTTTTATTATTGAGAGTTCTTTACCTTGTTTGGTATCTGGCTGATGCTGTCCCGTGTTCTAGACTCTAGTTGTGGTTTGATGTTGTTAGTTCTCTAACTGAAGGACTCCCTGTAATACTTCTTGTAAGTTTGTTTTGGTGTTTATGAATTCCCTTAATTTCCGTTTATCTGGTAATGTCCTAATTTAACCCTCATATTTGAGAGAGAGTTTTGCAGGATATATTAGTCTTAGTTGAAAGTTTTTCTTTCAGAGTTTTATATATGTCATCCCATTGCCTTCTTGCCTGCATGGTTTCTGCCAAGTAATCAGAGTTTAGTCTTATAATTTTCCCTTTGTGACTTTTCATTTTTATTGAGCTGCTATCAGGATTTTTTCTTTGTCTTTGGTTTTGTCAGGTGTGATTATGACATGTCTTGGTGACCTTTTCGTGTCTGTCCTATATGGGGTTCATTGAGCCTCTTGGATGGTCGGCTTTTCTTCTTTCATAATATTTGTGAAGTTTTCTGCCAGCAAATCTTCAACAGTCTTCTCTGTGTTTTCCATTTTCTCCCCCTGTTCTGGAACTCTGATCATGAGAAGATTTTTGCTCTTGATTGTGTCCCACAAAATTCTTTGGTTTTCTTCATTTTCTTTGGTTCTTTTCTCTGATTTTTCCTCAAACAAAGTGGCATCCATCAATTTGTCCTTAATCTTGCTGATTCTGTCTTCTGTTCCTAAAACCTTCTAGTGATCTGTCTATTTCAGAAATGTTGTTGTTTCTTTCAGGCTTCTAGTTGCTGTTTTTGTATGATTTCTAACTGTTTATTTTGACTTTTTGTTCTTTTATTATTTTCCTGAATTCTTCTGTTGTTTTGTCTGTGCTTTCCTTGATATTGGCTATGTTTTCATTGTTTTGTTTTTTTTTTTTCTTGCTCTCTGTCTTAGTTATCCAGTGCTATTATAACAGAAATACCTCAACTGGATGGCCTTAACAAACAATTATTTTCTGTCACAGTCTAGCAGGTTAGACATCTGAATTCAGGGTGCCAGTTCCCAAGGAAGGCTTTCTCTCTCTGTTGGTTCTTAGGGAAGGTCCCTGTCATCAGTCTTTCCCTGGTCTAGGAGCTTCTCAATGCAGGGAACCTTGGTCCAAAGGATGTGCTCTGCTCTCTGTGCTTCTTTCTTGGTGGCATGAGGTCTCTCCTCTCTGCTTGATTCTCTGTTTTATATATTAAAAGAGATTGACTCAAGATATAACCTATTCCTGTCAATTGAGTCCTGCCTCATTAGTGTAACTGCCTCTAATTCTGCCTCATTAACATCATAGAGATTAGAATTTACAACACATAAGATAACCACATCAGATCTCAAAAAGCTTTACAACTACACACTACTGGGAATCATGGACTAGCCAATTTGACACACATTTTTGGGAGACACAATTCAATCTATAACAATCGCTTTCCTAGTCTCTTAGAGAGCCCTAAATATTAGTCTTTTGAATTCTATCAGGTAGTTCCACTCCCTTTTCTTCTACTAGAAGGTCATCTGACTCTTTTTTTGGTCACATGCTGGAAGCATCTTGTCCTGCTTTTTAAAGATGTTTTGATATTATCTGCTGTCTCTGGGACATTAAGGTATTCTTTTCTTTATTTACTTGCTGTGTGTTCATTTGCTTTGTCCTGCCTCTTTGTTTTGTTTTGTTATGCCAGGGTGGGCAGGCCAGGTGTGCTTTGCTGGTTGCTCGTCTGCTCGCTGCTTGTACTCACCACCTTGCCCATGTGGGCAGGGCAAGACTGCTTTGCTGATTGGTTTGGCAAGGTGGCTGAGGGTGGACTGGGTGCGTGCTATCTGCTTCCTGATGTTGGTCCAGGGAGCATTCACAGCTTCTTGCCGTATAGGGAGGGGTGTCAGCCAGGAAGTGGTGTGGGCTCACTTCCTACCATTCAGCAGCTGGTCAAGTGGTAGGAAGGGAGGAGCAGTGTGGGCCTGGTGCAGCTATGGGCCAGAGTGCCAGGAATGCTCTAGTTGTGGCAGAATGGCAGAGGCCGATGGGAAGAGGGGCGGAGTATGGGGTTAGCTGCAGGTGGGGGGGAGAAAAGAATAGAAAAGAGTAGCTGGCAAGTAGGGGTGGAGCAGACCTAGGGGCTGGTAGGAAGTGAGGGGGAGGTGGAATACAGAACTAAGTGGAAGAGAGAAAGGAAAAAAAGAACAAAAAAGAAAAATATAAAATAAATGGCAGGGCAATGTGGGCCAGCAGATGGGGGCGGGGCAGACCTTGGGCAGTGGTGGGCTGGTGCACTAGTAGTATTCTATTCACGGTGGCACATCTGAGGCTGGTGGGAATGGGGAGAGGTGACATACAAGGCTAGGTGGGAGGGAGAGAAAAAAGGAAGAAAGCAAAACAAAAAATGGCACAGTGGGAGCAGGCGGATGGTGGTGGGAGGGATCTGGGGTGGCGACGGGCAAGTAGTCATCTAACCTAGGTGGGGTGATATGGCCTGATGGGAAGGGGTGGAGGTGGTATACGGGGCAGAAGGGTAAGGTGTGGGAAAGCATGTTTCTCTGGTTACCAGGTGCTCTGTCTCCTGTTGGGAGTTCCATGAAGTTGCCTTCCCATACTCCCAGTCTAAGGTCATTGCTGGCTGTGTCCCAGTATGACAACACTCTGCCATGTTTTTTGGCAGGAGATCTCCACTCTGTATCTGTCCTGGTTCTCTGTTTTCTTTTGGTTTCTTCTTCCATTTGGTGCTTTATCTAGTTCCTTATCCCTTCATTTAATGCTTTGGGTTCCAGGATTGACGTTTTTATCTGTTTTACTCAGCGTTTCAGGTCTTTGTTGCAGAGGGAGGGCACCGTCTAGGGTGCCGTGTTGGCTCCGCATCTCTGTTACTAGTCTTTTGCTTAAGATAGTTTTTTTCTCCTCTCATAAGAAATGCTTATCTTTGCTCATGTAACTCCGTATACCACTGAATTTCCTCCTTAGAGCATGGATACTTTAAAAGCCATTTGTGACTGATTTGAAGTGAGAAGTAATCTTTCCCTGACCATATAGGGTAGGGAACCAGTTCTACCTTCATGGTGGAGTCTCTCTCTCCCCGGGGAGAACTCCTAAGGCTCCAGGAGAAAACTAATTTCCCTCAGGCCACCACAGGTCACATACTCACAGCTGCCCTGGGTGTTTTATCTACTGCTTTATCAGTATTTTTTTAATTATTTTTTTGTCATTGTACTTTAGATGAAGGTTTACAGAACAAATAGTTTCTCATAAGACAGTTAGTACACATACTGTTTTATGACATTGGTTAACAACCCCACAACATGTCTGCACTCTCCCTTTTCGACGTCGAGTTCCCTATTACCAGCTTTCCTGTCCCCTCCTGCCTTCTAGTCCTTGTCCCTGGGCTGTTGTGCCCCATTAGTTTCATTTTGTTTTATGGGGCTGTCTAATCTTTGGCTGAAGGGTGAGCCTCGGGAGTGACTGCATTACTGAGCTAAAAGGGTGTCTGGGGGTATACTCTTGGGGTTTCTCCAGCCTCTGTCAGGCCAGTGAGTCTGGTCCTTTTTTGTGAGTTATAATTTTGTTCTACACTTTTGTCCAGCTCCGTCCAGGACCCTCTGTTGTGATCCCAGACAGAGCAGTCAGTGGTGGTAGCCCGGCACCATCTAGTTGTACTGGGCTCAGTCTGGTGGAGGCCGTGGTAGTTGTGGTCAATTAGTCTTTTGGACTAATCTTTTCCTCGTATCTTGTTTTCTTCATTTTCTCATGCTCTTGAAGGGGTGAGACCAGTGGAGTATCTTAGATGGCCGCTTACAGGCTTTTAAGACCCCAGATGCTACTCACCAATTTATCAGTGTTTTTCACATCTGAAGTGGGATGAAGGCACTCTGTTCAAAGAACTGAGAAGATTTTCCCCATAGTTTCTGTTACTGCAATGCAGTATTCTCTTTACTAGAGTGGATTTCCAACAGTTGCTTCATTAACCAAATTATTACATAATGTGTGTGATATTTTCATTTAAACATTTTTAATTCTGTTTTAAATTAAAACCAGATAAGAAACAATCAAAATCCCTGAACCTCTTTCTTCTTTTAGAGTTTGCAGGTGGTGTTTGATCGAGTAAAATTCCAAAGAAAAGGTGAAGAACTGAAGGCTTTGGCAAAAAGGGGCATTGGATATCATCACAGCTGTATGAGCGCCAAAGAAAAACAGTTAGTTGAGATTCTCTTCAGGAAAGGATTCATTAGAGTAGGTATATTTTTTCGTTCTAAAATCAACATTGTGTGTACATGAAGCTGAATGGCAATGAAAAGTAAACAAAAAATCATCATTCTTTCTCATCTAACTTAAATGCATTTTTTTTAACAACCTGTGATGTGACTGCGTATGCCCCATTAATTTAATTGGGGGAAGAAGATTTGAGGTGTATCATTCCCTTTGTCTATAACTTTTTCATGAGAATAAAATGTTTCCTTAAACTGATACTTTTCCAATTATTTCTATAATGACATGTTACTATGGTGATTGAGGCACAACAGCTTGCTTTTTCATTATTTAATATCCAGAAAATTTTGTCAGTTGTTGACATCACTTTGGTTACAGATACCCTTTCGTAGGTTTGGGGGACATTTATGATAGAGTCTTGGTCAGATCTTTATGACGTACTAGCTGAAATAAGAGTGAGCTTGCATCTCTTCCTCGGGGCCCACTGCACATCTACACAGAGGTTTTAGATGTGTCACTTGACACTTTCTGTGCTATCACTGATAGCAGACAAGGGGACCAAACCAGAAAACCAAGCCCGTTGCCATCGGGGCAATTCCAGCTCAGCGACAAGGGCAAGATGACCTTAAATAGCTCGCAAACCAAACCTTTGTTATCGTTTGTTTAGTATATGTGCGTGAAGATCGTCTAGATTAATTCTCAGCAATCTCCCAGTAAATTTGGAACCTGACTAATATTTAAAAATAGTCTCTGACTCTTCTGATTTTCCATATTAAAGTTTGTCTGACATACGTTATCTTTTGTGTGTGTGTGTATGTGTGTGTGTTTATGAGAGACAAAAAGACAGACAGGCAGAGACAGAGAGAAGTTGACAGTCATTCTGTTACCCTACATAGCATCTTATAATCTTAATAAAGGAAATATTGAGGAAAGTCTGGTGTAATTAAATAGTAATTTCTGTTACCTGGCAAAACAAAATGTATCGTGAACAACTTTGCTTAGTTCTATTCAGTAACAACCAGTGATTTATTTGTCATTCTAAAGGTCAATAACTAGAGACAAGTTTTTATACCAGAATGTAAATTGAGGGCAAGAGGCACACCTATTTCGATCAGGATATCCAGTGTCTAAAATAATACCTGTGAAATAATAGTTGTCGATTACTATTAGTTTAATGAGTGAAGACCAGATGTTGGGGGAAGAATATGAGGAACACACAAAACAGAAACAAAACCATTACTGTCGAGTTGATTCTGACTCACAGCAGCCCCACGGATGTAAGATTAGAACTGCGCTCCATAAGGTTTTCAATGGCTGAGTTTTTGGAAATAGATCACCAGGCTTGTCTTCCAAGGCACCTCTGGGTGGACTTAAACCCCCAGTGTTTCAGTTTGGAGCTGACCATTAAGCATCTGCACCACCCAACGACTCCATTATAGAAATAGTGACAGCTTTGTTCTAGAGAATACATTTTAAAATAGGTTTTTATTGTAACTATTTTCTAAATTTAATGTTTTTACACCCTTTTTTGTTGTTGTTCTTACTGTAGAACTTTAGAAGAACAGTTAATAAATGATGCGTTGTACCTGGATAGGGATAGATACAGATGTCCAAAACAATAATTAGAGAAAAACATAGACTTAAAATTTTAAAATTAATTATGCCTACGTTGATATCAATATAAAGAGAAAAGGAGGCCAAGTAGAAATCTCCAGCATTACATGACAAAAAATGAACAAACAGCTGGATTATCTAGGTAAACTTTAAAGTTTGTCATGCTCCTATTCCTTCAGGGATCATAGCACTTCAGGGGAAAAAAAATGAAACTCTCTTTTGCTCTTTTTACTTAGATATGTTATTTCCACAGATACAACCTCCACAAACAATTTATAGTGCAAGAAGGTAGGCAGTTGCCCAGAAGTGTGTTTGGAAAAGGGAAATTCTTTTCTAGTCATTTATTCAAAATGCATCTATTGACCACCCCTCATGTGCCAGGAATCCCTGGTGCCAACAATTAACGCACCTTTCGGTTAGCAGTTCGAATCCACCCAGAGGCACCTTGGAAGAAGGACGTGGTGATCTACTTCCAAAAAGTCAGCCATTGAAGACCCGATGGAACACTGTTCTACTCTGATGCACAGGGGGTCGCCATGAGCCAGAGTTGGTTAGAAGGCAGTTGGTACTGGTATCAAGTGCTAGCTGCTCTCCTTGGTGCTGACAACACAGCAGTGAGTGATATTTGGAGTTTGTTGTGGGACAATTAAACAAACAAGTAACATACCTTCAGGTAGTCACTAATACTATGAAGATAAATGTTATAGGATAGAAGGTGAATAATACTGGTAACAGGAGGTTATTTTAGATTGGTGGTCTAGAAATTTGACATTTGAGCAAAGAGCTGAAGGAGTCAGACAAATGAATATTTGGAGGAACATATTCTGTGTCAAACAGTGACAGTGTGGCCCTGAGTCAGGAAAGTGCTTAGTCTTTTTGTGAAATTGCAAGAATACCAGTGTGGCTACCTCTTTGGCTTTCCCACTGTGGTTTAATTGAAGTTCACATGTTTTTTTCAGAAACCGTCTAGCAGAAAACACTTGTATTCTACTGAAATGCTGGTGTTTGAAGTAATTGTTTTATCCTCTTTCTAGGTGGTGACAGCTACAGGGACGCTCGCGTTAGGAATCAACATGCCTTGTAAATCTGTGGTTTTTGCTCAAAACTCAGTCTATCTGGATGCTTTAAATTACAGACAGGTATTGCAGCGTACATAAACTCCCTTACTTGTCTTACTGAAATATGACCACAGAATAGTAGAAGCTGTGAATCTTTCGCTTGTAAACATGCTGCAGTTCAGACTTGCATGTGTCTGCATTCATCCTTGCCTGGCTGTTATTTTCCGCTGGGGTATCATGGAAAGCACTTGGGGTTATCTGACTGTTGCTAACCAGGTGTGTGACCTCGGGTGAGGTATCTAAACTGCCAGATCCTTCATTCATATCTCCAGGATAGGTGGGATAACTAATATCCTGCACCATTCGGAAAAATCAAATGAAGTTATGTACAGGTAGTCTGCGACTTACGAAGTATTCGAGTTACGACAAACCACACTCACAACCGTCTTTTTTTTTTTTTTGGCACATCTTACAGTTTGCAATATGTGCTACATACAATGTTGTAGCATGTAACTTGCTGATGTCATCATTCTCAGATGTTCACTCGCAGATGTTCAAATCACTCACAATGTTCAAAGATCCAATGTATAAAGATACTGATAATAAAAAGGCAATAATAATGAAAACTGAAAAAAAAAAAAAGTATTCAAGTTACGTCAGAACCGACTTACGACAGAGTTGTCAGAAGAGAACCCCGTCGTAAGCCAGGGACCGAAATGCTTCAAGGTGCTCGTTCACTGACCGTGCACACAGTTTTGCTCTCTAGAGTTCTAGTTGATGCTTTGCTTCCTCTTCTGTGCTCCTAATACCCAATCTGTTACCGAACTCATTTATCTCCTGTAGTGGTATTCGATTTCTACCCCACAGTTTGGGTTTCCATCACCCTTCCCCACACATTCTTGGTCTTGTATTATTATAGTTTTAAAATTTATTTTATTTTTTGTAGTTGTTGTTGAATATATACACAGCAGAACATACACCAATCCAAAACTTCTACGTGTACAAATCATTGACTTGTTTACATTCTTCAAGTTGTACAACTAACCTCACCCTCATTGTCTGAACTGTTTCTCCCCCATTAACAAAAACTCACTGCCCCCTAAGTTTTCCGTCTAATCTCTTGAGTGGCTGCGTTGATTTTATCCTATACAGATAGTTCTTAAAAGAGCACCATGTTGAAGGCAGACATTCTTTACTAATGAAGCTAAATTATTATATTATTAAAATAGTTTTCCTGATTTTGTCAATTCTCCTTATTCTAGTCTGTCCTACAGGTAGCTCGCAGTGTTGTTTTCTTTTGTGTGATACTCTTGCGCAGGAACATTTGATGAGTATTTCAAATTTTTATCAAAGAACCACTTCTCCCGACCTCTCTAAACACTTCCGTTTTCATTCTCCACTCCGTGACTCTTTCCTAACCCATGTAATACTGTTATTTCCCACCACTTTACCAGTCCTTGTTTCTTTGATTCCTGCTCCCGTTGTTGTGCTTTGCAAGGACTGTCCTCCCAGCTCAGTTCTGGGAATCTCATATTTAGGATTCTTGAGATAGAGTGGTATGATTTTGGAATGATGGACTTGGCCAACAAGATGCCAGGGTTTGAATCCCGACTCTTCCTCTTCCTGGTTGGTTGACTGTGGACGAGTTTCTTATACGCCCTGTGGCCCCGTTTCCTCATTGTACAATGAGGCTAATGATCGGATATGCCTCATACGGTTGCTGTGAGCTTTGGATTAGAAATTGTGTATGTATAAAGGACCTAGCACATTCTAAGCATTTCATAAACGAGAACTAATACAACTTCTGTAAAAAGTTAATTTTTTGTTTTTTAACTTGCCTTAACCAAGTTTTTTATCTTACTCATCCATGTCATTCCTTTGTGTTCTAGCGGCTTAGGTACACAGTTTTTATTTTATAATTTGTAACTCAGCACATTCGTATGTGAGAGAGGGAGCAATAGACGGCGAGAAGGGAGAGGGGAGAGGGGAAGAGAAAACGGGGTATCATAGAGTTCAGCTGTAAGCTCCTTGAAATCAGGGTCTCATTTGCTGCTTGTTTTATTTCTTCTGTATATCATTATATAAATGCCTGGTAGATTTATTGGCATACACTAAGTACCTCAGGATGATAGATACCTCACTTTCAGCTCTGTATCAGCCACGGTAAATTTTCTAAGTGCTACATAGTTGGATATTAATTTCAGTTAATTAATGCTGTGACATATGCATAATTTACTTATTCCAACCCAACATAAAGAGCTCATTTCTTATACTTTGGTGGGAAAAATATTTAGAGAAACCTTACATTGTGGTATTACTCTGTTTCCAGATGTCTGGACGTGCTGGAAGACGAGGTCAAGACCTGCTGGGAGATGTGTATTTTTTTGATATTCCACTACCCAAAATAGAAAAGCTCATAAAATCCAATGTTCCTGAGCTGCGAGGACAGTTCCCTGTCAGCATAACCCTGATCCTGAGGCTCATGCTGCTGGCCTCCAAGGCGGATGACCCGGAGGACGCCCAGGCCAAGGTGCCCTGTTGACGCTGTGTGAGGGTCCGCCTGCATCATGGGCCTGGTTGTGGTCTGGCTGCTGTTGTTTACAAGCCTGTAGCCATATCTTCATTACATTAGTCCTTTCACACTTGGTAGCTTCGTGAATAGTATGGGAATGGAGGGTGGCGAGAATGATAATTAACTTTGTTTCACCGTCAGACGTAGGATTTGTGGCTGGATGGGCGTTGGGAATCACCCAGGATTACTGCTGTCATGTGTGATAGGCTTTGTCCTACAGTAGTTAAGGGCGTGGCTGTAGATTTAAAAAGATCTAGGTTAGTTTTCAGTTTCTACCGTTTACTGGTTGGGGGACTGTAAGTTCATTAAACCTCGGAACTCTCAGCAGTAAAATGGGAGTAATACCTACCTACAGATTGTAGTGAGACCTAACTAAATAAATGCATGTAAAGACCTTAGGTCCACACTTGGTTCAGAGTAAATGAAAGATTGTGAGTTACTATGATCATTAACGTTGACTTTCCCTTTTGCAGTATTATTTCAGAAGTACATTTTTTTTTTTTAAATCTTTAAAGGCAAGAACAAAGTGATAAAGTAAACAGATTTCTACCTTTTTTCCCCCTCTTATGTATTGGTTTTTCATGGAGAGCTGGGGCTAGAGAATAGAACTAGATTTATGACTGTGTAAGTGTACATTGTGGTAAAATAGATTTGTTTGCATCTTAAATCTGGTTAGTATGTCAACTTTCATTATTTTGCTAATTAGGGTTTTAAATTGATGGGAAATTTATACATTTTAAAATAATTAAGGAAGATGTAATTGGAAAAGGCAGATTAATTCCGTTTTTCCAAATGAATCACTGTCCTAAATCATAAAAATTAAAAGAAAAGGTTTGTCATTTAATGATTTTCTAATAAAAGGTTTATTTTTACATAAAATAACACAAGTTTATTAAAGAATATTTGGAAAATACAGAGAGTTGAAAGAAGGAAAAAGGCACTCGTTTATCTAGTTCTACCACCCGAAGACAATCAGATTGGCATTTTGGTATTTTTTTCAGTCATTTTCCTAGGCATGGATGTGCATTTGGCTTTTAAATACTGATACAGTTATATGTTTAATTTAATTTCTATTGTCCATATACCTTATGCTGGTGTGCCTTGTTTCACAGAAGCCGTATATTTTGGCATCCATCAAGAATGCTAAATAAATTTTCCAAACAAATGTTTGCTTCACATAGAAAACAATTCTCATAGGCTAGCTCTTTTTTGGAGTAAAAGCCAGTGTCCTTGTCATGCTCTATGAGACTCTGCAGAATTTGGTCCTAGTTACCTCGTTGATCTCGTCTCCTTTCGCTTTCCCACGTGGACCGGCTACTTGCTCCACGAACACTCCAGGAACAGTCCATCCTGGGGACTGTTGCTCTTGCTGTTTGCTCTGCCTGTAAGATCTGCCAGATGTGTGCCTGGCCTCACTCTGTCACCTCCTTCACGTCTTTGCACTAATGTTACTGTCTATCGGGCTACAGTGTCCAGCCCTTCTGTTGTACGTGTATCCCTGTCTGCTGCACTGGTAATACTCCCGACGCATTTCTGCAAACACTGTATCACTTCTTACATAGCATCAAACCTATCTATCTGTCTGTCTGTCTACCTATCTACCTATCTTTATCTGTCTTGTCTGTCTGTCTAATTACATTGTCTATATCCATCTATCTATAGGGTCGCTATGAGTAGGAATCGACCTGACGGCACACAACAACATGTGTCTTTTTAAAATTTATTTTCTATTCCAAATAGAATGTGAGCACCCTAGGGGCAGTGGTGTTTTCTCATTCCCCTGGTGTATCACAGTCTCTCAGAATAGAGCTGGAACATAGTTGTCGTTAGCTGCTATCGGGTCCGTTCCGACTCATGGCGACCTTGTGTGTGCCGAGTAGAACTGCACCATAGGGTCTTCAAGGCGGTGATCTTTTGGGAGCAGATTAGCAAGCCTGTCTCCTGAGGTGCTGCTGGGTGGGTTCAAACCTCCAACCTTTAGGGTAGTAGTAGAGCATTTAACCATACGCGCCAGCCAGGGACTCCCTGGAACATAGTAGGCATTCAAAAATGTTTGTAGAATGAAAACAGTTTTAGGAAGGTAATACATTTTCTTACGAAATATTGTTCCATAAACAACATGCTGTGGGCTTTTCTATTTTCTCACTTTTGGATGAAGGTACTTCTATCCAAATCTGATTTGCAAAGCAACAGGGTGTATGGATTTCTTCTGGCTTTACTCTCTGCTCACCAAAATGCTCTTCAAATACGTTTTCAAAAGCCCACGGCATGGCTGCAGCTGGATTCAGATAGGTACGCACAGCTTCTAGCTCAAATCTCAGTACTTGGCGGATTTTCATGTTACGTTGACTTTCTAGATGGAAAGGCCGTCATCCACATCTACTGCCAGTCTCCCTGACGCATTGATCACATGAATGCCATTAATTACTACAAACTCCAGTATGCGTTGCTATTAGGATTCTTACTGTTTCAGTAAGACTTAATTATGGGGTCTACACCTCTAGGGTCACAGTGAACCACCACGACTTCCTCATCCCCTTTACTGCTCTGCTGTTTTCTGGCACTCTCTCTAGTATTCTGCAGTCTCTGACTAAATGGACAGTGAGACAGAGAAGAGGTTATAGAAAGAGGCATTTTAGTTCCCTCAAAAAGTAACACTTCACAGTAAAAGAGATGGATATTACACCTCCTCCCTCCCTCCCTCTCTTCCTCCTTCCTTCCCTCCTTGCTTCTCTCCCTCCCTCCTTCCTTCCCTCCCTCCTTTCTTCCTTCATTTCCTTCTCCCCCCTTTCTTCCTTCCTTCCTGGCTATTTTCTTTCTTTCCTTTCATTTTTATCTTCCTTCCTTTGAGCTAGTCCATTGATCTTATGGTGAGTGTAAATTCATTCTAGATTCCATAAACTATCAAACTGAAAGCCAGGTAGGCTTAAGTTTTGGTGGTGTTGAGTATTTTGCCTTTTATTGGAACTTCATGGACATTTTAACAGGAAGTTGACAGAGACCTGAACTGCTTCTTCAATGCTATTTACACTGGAAACCAAGAAATGTTGTTATTGCTTTCATTTAAATCCACTTAGTTCCATTATTTTTATAACAATAGGTCAAGACATAGAACAATATAACTCATTTTCTTCCAGAATAATCTAAGAGCTGTACACTCTCAAACTGGATTGGCTTTCATGCTTTCTTCTTCCAGTCCATTTTTGGTCACTGTTATTGCAGAGAATTACCAGATGATTTGTCTCAGATTGTTTCATTTCTTAGGGTTCTGTTTCATGTGCTCTGTTTTGCTCAGGGAAGGATGTGTCATAGAAGGTCATGGTAAAACAAATAATACAAAATCTAATGAATCTTATATAATTGCTGTATTTAATTTATTTAATTGTGTAGTATAATATATATGGGAAATAACTATTCTGTATTACCAGTTATGAGTATTTTTCATAATAATAGCATTGGGTGAATGAATGTGCTCTTCTTTGAAGGTGCTGTCGGTGCTAAAGCATTCATTGCTGAGCTTCAAGCAACCCAGAGCCATGGAGATGTTAAAGCTTTACTTCATGTTTTCTTTGCAGTTCCTGGTGAAAGAGGTAGGATTGTGCTTTGTCTGTTTGTGAAATACTATTGCTACTATCTAGATTTCTTATCATGCTGAACGAACTGTAATCTTTAGAAGGATTTGTTTAATACTTAATATTGTCAATATGGTTCAGTGGTAGAATTCTTGCCTTGCACGCAGGAGACCCAGTTTCGATTCCTGACCAATGCACGTTAAGGGCAGCCACCACTCATCTCTCAGCGGAGACTTTCATGTTGCTGTGATGCTGAACAGGTTCAGTGGGGCTTCTAGACAAGGAAGAAAGGCCTGGCGATCCACCTCTGAAAAAATCAGCTGATGAAAATCTTACGGTTTACAGTGGGCAAGTCCATTGTGCGTGGGATCACCGTTAGTCTAGGGCTGAGTGTGGCAGCTGACAACAGTCGTTGCCGTAGTTATCAAAGTTGGGCCTGGTGATGTTGATCAATACCTCTTACACTGGCATCGAATACTGTTTTAAACTCATGCTTAGTACGTTATTATTAATTTATGTAAATGGTGAGTTGAGTCAAACTAATAATTTGTTTTTATTGTTTAGGGCTATTTAGATCAAGAAGGTAATCCGATGGGGTTTGCCGGACTGGTATCACATTTGTTTTATCATGAACCTTCCAACCTTGTTTTTGTCAGTTTTCTTGTGAGAGGCCTTTTCCATGATCTCTGTCAGCCAACCCGGGAAGGTAAGTTAGAGGTTACACATCTGTAGTCTGAAACTAGTGACAGATTTGTAGCAAGCTAGCAGTTGGGGAATTTTTTTTCTACATAGAAAATATAAATAAATTAGAAAATTTACAGATCCCAAAATAGATACTGAAAATAACGTTGCATATCTGCTAATAGATTACATGGGATACGGTCATATCTTAGGACACCTATTTAAAAATGTCGCCTTCACCAGAGAATTTGAATGGCTCAAGTATACTTATTGAAAAAGAAAGAAAATCCAGGAATCACATAGTACTTAACTTCAGGGATTCACTGCCTCCAGGTTTCAGAATATATTAAATGATATACAATTTTTAAAAGAATAACTTCTTGTTAAAAACAATATATGCTCACCATAGAAAAATTTAAAATGTATAAATTTAGAAAAGCCATACGTTAGAAATAAAAATTACTCATAATTTCACTGTCCATAGGTAATCACTATTAACACTGGTGAATATTTTCTTATAATCATGTTTTCTTTGAATATAATCATATAATATGTATTTAAATAACTGATATGATAATAATCGTATACTCTAGAATCCTGTTTTTCCCTAAACATGTCATAAGTTTTGCCCGTATAATGTACATTTTAAAATAAATTTCGTCTGTAATTCCCACCTATTATTCCATTTAACATAGCTGTTATTAAAAGCGTTTCTTTTTTATATTTAAGAACAAATCTGTTACATACTGTCCTTTAAAGAAATGTTTCCACTTTGTAGTATTTGTGCTAAAACTTGCATATTTCTTACTGTCTACAAAATTCTTACTGTCTGCAAAAAAAAAGTTTGCAGAATAGGTCTAGTCATTATGCTCTGAATATGCATTGTTCTGGGAAACAAAGTTACTCTGGAATTTATGCTGAGTAAAAGAAGAAATAATCTCAGGCAACAGGAAATGCAGATGTGTGTATCAGAGACAGGAGAGAAATTGTGTGTGTATGTGTGTGTGTGTAAGCATAGCGATAGAAAATTTGATAACTTTATGAGGTAGATAATATGACTGTCACCATTTTGTAAATGAGGAAACTGAGTCACACGGAAGTTAAATAAATGGCCAAGGTGACACAGTTTTTATAAGTGTCAGAGCTAAGATCAAATAGGTAGGAGGACTTCAGAATCCGAGGTATTATATATGGCAACTTTGTAACCACTAGGGTGAGTGCTTATATGTTATGAAGAATAGAGCATCGACTGTAACTTAATATGAGTGACAGGAATATAAGAAAGTAGATAAGGTCGGGAGGTTATTTGTGGGCTGAATTTTGCAAAGTCTTAAATGCTAAGCTAAGGAAACTGGATTGTGTTTATTAGGCATGGAGATTTCATCAGAGATTTTTTGGTAGGGGAGAGCCATGATCATCAAATGCTTTAAGAAAGCTGATCGCCCACTCAGATGGACTAAGGGAAGGGGATGTAAAACTGCCAGTAGATGTAGTCATTCCTCAGTTGCAATAGTTGCAAAATTTTAGTTGCCATGAAATGAAATGTATTGTAACGTTCGATGTAACTGTCTGTGAAAGTGGGATCAACACACTGTTCTTGTTTACAATGAGACGCTTTGTTTTGAATAGGCTCAAAACACTTTTCTCAGGATGTTATGGAAAAGCTAGTGTTAGTATTAGCACATCTGTTTGGAAGAAAATATATTCCAGCAAAGTTCCAAGATGCTGCTTTGACGTTTCATCAATCAAAGGTAAAATTATGGTTCTTATAAAATTTAATAATTAAGATAATGTGTGTTACCAGAAGTAATTAAGCAGCAGTAGATTTTTTTTAGAAAATATAGAACAGTGTATTTGTATTGTGGAATAATTTATAATTCTGTACTTAGGGTTCTGTTGAATCTATAATTCATAAGTCCCCCCCTGTAAATGTCTTAAGGGAAAAAAGAGTCAAAAATCTTATTTTATTTACAGTTTTCACTTGATGACTTCAAATTATAGCATTCAGCAAATACAGAAAAGACATAAATAGTTATATATTTAAAGGAAACAAAGGGGCCCTAGTGGCAGTGGTTAAAGCACCAGGCTGCTAACCGAAAGATCGGCAGTTGGAACCCACCAACCGCTCCACAGGAGAAAGATGTGGCAGTCAGTTTCCATGAAGATTTACAGCCTTGGAAACCCTATGGGGCAGTTCTATTCTGTCATACATTGTCGCTATGAGTTGGAATTGACTTGATTGCTTTTTTTTTTTAGGAAGCAACAGTTCCCGTAACGGAGTCTATAGTTCCTTTGGGATGGGGCTGCGGGGAGGTTGTCTTTGTTGTGAGCCATGAACGTCTCTTTGAGAAAATCTTAGATTAGTCAAAGAAAGCATCTTTTGACTCCCAGAGACCAAAAGCAGGAAAACTCTTTTCAGCTTTATTTTCAGTGTTTTTATGTGGTCATGATTGCTTATCATTAAATCAATTAAATGCCACTACTAATGTACTCCATTAGAATCTGAGAAAGTAGATAGGCTGGTTTTTACTAAATAACCTTAGTGACAAGATGACAAAGAACAAAAATAGAAGAGTTAATCTATGTTTCCCAGTTGCCAACTTATAAATCTATGCCTTCTCAGAATATTCTCTAGGTAAGTGGACGGAACTTTAGCCATTGATCTATCACCTTCATATTTTTCACCATATAGCTATACTTGTTGAACTATTATTTAACTGTTTAAATATTTAATTTATAAAAAAAAATCAGTATCTCTATTCTTTAAAAGGTCATCATAAAAATAAATACAATACAAGAATTTTCTGAGCTGAGTCCTGCTTCCTCTCTGTAAAGATCCTTGACAGTTCTCCACTTCCAGCTAGGACATAGTAGATGGCCTTCACTCCTTCTGCAACAGAGAGCTGTGGGAGGGAGCAATGAGGACTAGATTAACTAAACCTTTTTATTGGCAAGAACTTTTCCAAGGTGTGATTAAAAATCATCAGTCATAGTTTTTCTCAGAGAATTTGTCAATTCTGGACATGGGCTGAGAAATTATCTTAGCCCAGGCAGAGGACATCTTTGTGAGATTTAAAAAAAAAAAAAAAAAAATTCGATAAAACTTTTAGTGCAGGCTGGAAACTTGAGAGACTTCATACAAATACCAGTTTTCACCACGGAACACTTACTGAGTACCATGTCTGCATGAGATGTGGTGGAGCTGCACCAAAAGTTTTGAAAAGATAGAGTAATATTTTCCTGCAGTCTTGTAGTGCTTGTGCTAGAGGGAGAAGAAGGTCTTCCTTCATGTGTAGGCTTGTCTCCTTGTCAAGGTATTTTCTGAAGCCATTTAGGGCTGGAGGATGAAAAGGCAGGCTGGAACCTATGAAGGGAGGAGCTGGATGGCAGTGTTTTAGGGCTGAGAAGACTGAGACCCACCTGCCTCATAATAAAAATCTCAACAGGGACATGACCTAGAAACAGACACAAACAAGATATAAACTCAGTCTTACTAAAACTGCAAAACAATACCAACCCACTTCAGTTTCTACTTGGATTGAGGTGATCGCTCTCATTCTCTAGGCCAAACAGAAAAACGGGGAACCCATTTGGGTGAACAAGATCATCAAGATATTTTATAAACACTTTCCAAACCAAAAACCAAACCCATTGCTGTTGAGTCGATTCCAACTCAGCGACCCTGTAGGACAGAGTAGAACTGCCCTATAGGGTTTCCAAGTCTGTAATCCTTATGGAAGCAGACTGTCACATCTTTTTCCCACAGAGTGGCTGGTGGGTTCAAACCACTGACCTTTTGGTTAGCAGCTGAATGCTTAACTACTGTGCCACTAATGCTCTTCGAATACTTTCCAGTGTAAAAAAATATTAAAAAAGTGAGTTAGGAAGAATCTATGACCAGTAAGTATGAGGAAAAGCAGGCAATGGAAGCAGACCTACAGATGATCCAGCTATTGGAGTTAAGATACAAGAACTTTAAGTACAATGAATGTATTTAAGAAAATAGGGAAGTGATAGAAAATGTAAGTGATAGGATGGAGAGTTTCACCATATAATTAGAACATACAAAAACAATTAAAGGGACATTTTAGAATTAAAAAATACAATATCCCAAATTCAGAATATACATATCAGAAGCCAAGATCAGTGAATTGGAAGATAGCGCAATCAAAAATATTCAAATTGTAGCAGAGAGAGCGAGAGAAGTAAAATAAAAGCAAATAGTATTAGACACATGAGATCGCGCTCAAAAGATTTAATGCACATGTAATAGAAATCCCAGAAGAAGAAGAGGAAGAAAAGCAGTAGAGGAATATTCACGAATCTAATAGCTGGGGATTTTCTGAAGCTGATGAAAGGCAGCACTCCATAGTTTTAAAGCTTGGTCAACCTCAAGAAGGATAAATATAAAGAAAAATTAAAGCTGCTGAACACTAAAAACAACCAGAATATCATAAATAAGCCAAAAAAGGAAATAAAGAGATGTATGTCTTTCAAAGAAGTAACAATAAGAATTACATCTGACTTTTTAACCAAAATAATGGAAGTTAGAAGACAATAGAATGATATTTTTAATGTTCTGAATAAAAATAACTCCTAACCCTGAATTCTGCACACAGAAAAAATATTATTTAAAATAGAGGAGAAATTAAGATGTTGTTAGACATATAAAATTTGAGATTGCTTGCTACTATCACATCTTTACTAAAGGAAATGCCATATAGTTTTAGAAGAAGGAACCAAAACTAAACCAAACCCACTGCTGTCGAGTCAGTTTCGACTCATAGCAACCCCATAGGACAGAGCAGAACTGCCCCCTGAGGTTTCCAAGGAGCAGCTGGTGGATTCGAACTGCCGACCTTTTGGTTAGCAGCCGAGCTTTTAACCACTGCACCACCAGCGCTCCTGGAAGAAGGAAAACAATCCCTAAATGGGACACATGGAAATGCAGTAGAGGATGAAATATGCCAGAAACAGAAATGTGTGGGTAGACATAAGTTAATACTGTCTGTATTTAAAAAGAAAAATCGTACTGTGTTGTGGAATTTGAGACAAATGTAGAACTATATTGCATGAAAATCATAATGCACAAGTTGAGAGGGGTAAGTAGATGAAATCAGAAGGTTGTAAAGTTCCAGCTGTATTAAGTGTTTTAAAGTCAATAGTATTACACTTTAGTAAGTTAAAGATGCACCTTGTAATCTCTGAGTAAACAACTAAAACACTAGTAAACAAATGCACAAATAAATGTTAATAGAAAAAGAAAACACTGAATAACAAAACACAAGAAGGGAGGAGAAAGGAACATGTAACAGATGATCCAAATAGAAAATAAATACAATAAACCCTGTGAGAGCTGGAAATGGATGAGACTGCCTTGTTTTTCAAGGTCTCACAAGTTTTGTGCCTTTCAAAGGGTGCTTACCACTTTCCTATCTCTCTCTGTTAAGAAGCCTACCTCATGAACACCCAGTGAGTTTTATATATATATTTATATATATATATACGGATATATATATATCCAGAGCCCTGGTGGCGCAGTGGTTAAAGTGATTGACTGCTAACCAGAAGGTTAGCGGTTCAAAACCGCCAGCAGCTCTGTAGGAGAAAGATGTGGCAGTCTGCTTCCATAGAGACTTACAGCCTTGGAAGCCCTATGGGGTTACTATGAGTTGGCATTGACTTGATGACAGTGGGTTTGGTTTGGGTGTGTATATGAATATATATTAGTTTGCTGTACTGTGGTGGCTTTTGTGTTTTTGAGATGCTGGAGGCTATGCCACTGGTATTTCTAATACCATCAGGTCACCCATGGTGGACAGGTTTTAGCAGAGCTTTCAGATTAAGACAGACTAGGAAGAAAGGCATGGCTATCTACTGAAAATTAGCCAGTGAGAACCCTAGGGATCACAACAGAACATTGTCCGACTCACTTACTTTGGACACGTCGTCAGGAAGGATCCGTTGCTGGAGGAAGACATCATGTCTGGTGAAGTACAGGGCTAGTGACTGGAAAGGAGACCCTTGGTGAGATTGATTGGCACAATAGCCCCAGTGATGAACTTAAACATGTTGACAATCATGAGGATGACACATGACCGGGTAACGTTTCGTTCTGTTGTGCTGAAAGTCACCATGAATTGGAGTCACCTCAATAGCAATTGTCTACTTATCTCTGCATAAGTAATTGCATTAAATCTAAATATACTAAATAGAAAACTAAGATTGTCAGGTTAGATTTTTAAAAAAAAGCAAAACAAAACCACATGCTCTATATATGAGTCATACCTTAGTTATAAGATCCCAGATGGGTGGAAAGTAAAATAATGGGAAAAGATATGCCAGGTAGACACTAATCAGAGGAATCAGAAAGATCTCAGTGGCCTGAAAATTAAACAAATTCTTTTCTACATACAGATAGGTGAAAAAAGGAATAAAATGGAAACTATGAAATATTTTTAATTAAATAATAATGGACATAACTACCAGTGCTCATAGGATGTAACTCATGCAAAGACTAAAGGGAAATTTACAGACTTAGATCCATATATTAGGAATAAAAACCAACAAATCAGTGACTTAACCTTTCATCTCAAGAAGTTAGGAAAAAAATTCAAATATGAAATCTAACCTAAGGAAAACAGAAGGAAAGAAATAATAAAGATGAGAACAGAAATAAAATAAATTGAAACAGTTGTACAGAAGGAAAGTTAACAAAGCCAGTGTTGGTTCTCTGTGAAGATTAATAAAATTGATTTACCTCTAGGAAGACTCATTAAGAATAAAGGGAGAAAAGTTACTAATTACCAACACCAGGAGAGAAAACGGGGCATTACCACAGATCATATAGATACCAAAAGGGTTAAAAGAGACTTTATGAACAAACTTACGTCAGTAAATATGACTCTTTGGATAAAATGGACAAATTCCTAGAAAAATACAACTTTCCAAAATTGACCAAAAAGATGTAGAAAATCTCAAGAGTCTGATAACTATATATTTGCTAAAGAAATTTAATGTATTATTTAAAAACTTTCTCACACAGAAAGATAGCTTCACTGGTGAATTCCTTCAACTATTTAAGGAATAACACCAATTTTTTCACAAACTCTTCTAGAGAATAGAAAAAGAAGAAGTACTTAACTAACTCTTTCTAAGAACACAGCTTAATCTTAACGCAAAACCTGGCAAGTACCTTACAAAATGTAAAATTAGAGATACACCTGTTTCATGAATATAAGTACAAAAATCCCTAATGAAATATTCACAAAACGAATCTAGCTAGATTTTAAAATATGAATAAGTGAGATTTATTCCAGGTATGCAATGATGTTTTAACTTCTTGCTTTCTCCCCAAATGTGTCACTAAATTCTTTTAAATATTCTTAAATCTAATGTCACTTGAAGGCAACCTTCTATTTAGAAAGTTGTTTTAATTAGGTACTATCAAACCATATTATTAAAAGATATTTTCTTTTATAAATGCAGATAGAAACTAAAGGTGAATTTCACCTCAATTTCACAAATGAGGGAACTGAGCAGTGACGTTATTAAATAAATAGAAAACTATAGAATTATATTGCAATGGTCTTTATCCCTCCTTTCCCAAAGTTTGCGTTTTCGATGAAGGTGTATAGATCTCTCAAAAATATTTGGCCTATAGGTGTTCCTTGATGATCTCCCTGAGGATTTTAATGCTGCTTTACACGAGCATAACATGAGCGCGACAAAGGACTTTGCCTCTTTCCTACTTATTGTCTCCAAACTGGCTGATATGAAACAGGAATATCAACTCCCATTGTCCAATATCGGTAAGTATATTTTAGTTCCATTGTGGAACAACTTAAAAAATAAATAATCTTGCCTAAGTATATTTTATCCCAGAAGAATAGTAGAGCCCTGGAAAGGTCAACCGTCCTTCGAGTAAGGGAATCACTTCTGTTTTCCAAAGAAAGACACTTCCTGATTACTGGCAGTTAAAAAGGCAGTGGAGCATGAACTAGAGTCATTTATAAACTATGTAGATTGAAGTTTGCTTTTGAGTCAAACCTGGAAAATGGAGTCAGAACACCTATGAGGTGAAGAGAAACTAGGCGCTCTTCTGTCAAACTTTTTCTTGAGAAGGAATATGCTTAGAGTTCATAAACATAGACTCTGGGCAGATGATCAGGTCCAAACCCTCATTCTGCTACTTACTAGCAGTGAGGCTTTGGGCAGATGACTCGGTCTCTTCCTGCCTTACTTTTCTCACCAGATTTATAAGAATGAGAATAGCGTCATCTAGTTTTGGTGAGCTTGATCTGAGTACGTTAATATATATCAGTACCTTCACATAGTGCCTGGCATATAGTAAACAGTCTTAGTGCTTGCTTTTGTTTTTCTTTTTCATAAGCTATTAGTCTAGAGGGGAAGAGAACAGAAAACAGACAAACAGCAATCAAACCAGGAGCTGCGATAGAGGGAAAACAGTTCCGTTGGGGTAGCAACCTTTCCTTTTCAGTATACACTAACAGTCCAACTGGAATAAAAGTCAAGGAGATGGAAGTTTCATTCCCTGGGCCCTAGTAAAGTAGGAACAGCTTGAACAAAAGCAGACAATGATTGTGCTGTGAGCGTCGCAGAAGCAGCAAGATGGGAGTGGGTGAATCTTCCGCCTCCATTACAAATTGGCGCCAAGCTTGAGTGCATGATCTGGTGCTTTGCAAGAGCAGGATTGGAGAATATATTTCTTCTCACATGCCATTTCCAAACCCTCTGACAGCGGATGCACGGAACACCTGTCTCCATGGATTCTGGGGCCAAATCTGGGTTCCATGGGAAAAAGTGCCAAGCTGATAACAATAATACTGTTTAAAACAGTATTTAATTTAAATTTAATCTTTCATTTCCTGTTGGTCAAAGCAACTCAAAATAACAAATTCTGATGATAGTGATAATAGTATTAATAGCTAACAATTAGTGAATGTACTGTGTGCCAAGCTGTGCGAACCACTTTATGTATATATCTTATCAGTCTTCATTAGAATGTCTGCCTTGGAACGGTGAATGATTCCACGTATAGCATGGTCTAGAGTAAGCACATAAGGCTTGACAATTTGCCTGATGCTTACAAACTAATCTATCCCAATCCATTCAGATTTCGCAGGTAAAGAATGTGAAGACTCCCAGCTTGTGGCTCACTTGATGAATTGTAAGGAAGGGAGGAAAGCCATTTCACCATTTGTTTGCCTTTCTGGGAGCACAGATGTTGATTTGCTTCAACCACAGGCTATAGACAATGTAAGCGGAGAATGGGGTTTATGAATACGTGTATCGGGTGTTTAAGAGAGAATGGATTTCCTCTGCTAGGAAGCCTAGGAAGGACTTCAGAATCCCCCAAATCGATAAAAATATCCAGGAAAATGGTACTCTTGAGGCCAGTATGAGTTCAGAGTTGACCTGAGGGACTCTGCTCCTTTATAACAAATTTCTGGGCACCACCATTTTTGAAGATTCTAGAGAGACTGGCATAGGTTTGCTGCTGGAATAGCACATAGAACTATCTTCAAGCTTTCTCAGTATTACTGTAGATGTTTAAATCGCATTTATACTCTGGATAAGTGGTATCCAAAGTAGAGTACATAGAACTAAACACATTTAGATGATCCTGGATAATCCACTTGAGTTTTGGAAGAAACTTGGTAGAAATTTAATTTTTTATTTTAATACAAATATGAAAAAGAAAATAAGTTTTATTACATTTGCTCTTACAGATTGACACTGGTGTCCCAACTCTATTCTATTCCCAAATGAGATAGTCACTTATTAGGTCAGACAGTCATGTATCACCTAAAAGAATCTTGAAAAACTATATACACCCTTGTGCATTTTAAATGGCTATGTACATATTTTATCTTAAGTTTAAATAGTTTCTAATGATTTTTCCAGTTTGAGAAAAATGTTAATATGTTAAAACAAAATTATTGTATCAATCTTTTAAATGTATGAAATGGAATATAAATACCCAGGTGTTTTGATACTCATAATCATCAAATATTTATTTAAAAAATCATAAATAAACTTTTTAAGCAAGAGTTTAAAGTTTTGTATAGTTCTTTTTCTCTTCAACTTGCATTTCACAGTTTCACATAGGATTTGTCTTAATATATTTTTATGTCACCCTCTCACGTTTCTCTGCTAAAATATTATACAATTTAATGTTTACTTCTTGTTAATCTCAGCAACTTAAATATAATAAAAATTTTGATAAGTAGTTGTTCAATATAAAAGTAATATAGTATCTGACATACTTAAGGAGATAGATTTCTTTTTTAATTAGTACGTATGTCCATTGACGAATAGTACTTATTTCTAGAATGAAACAGAGTTTCAGCATCAATTCTATGATGTGAGTGCTGAGAAACCGTCTTCTTTCCCCTGCTCCCCTTCCTCCCTTCCTTTTTCCCCACCTGCCTTCATTCCTTCTTCCTCCCTCTCTCCTCCTCCTCCTCCTCCTCCTCCTTTATGGTAACTGAGTTTTAAAGACTGTTAGAGTTGCTTCATTTTAATTCTTCTCTTGTGGACATACAAGCTCCTTGACATCCTATTTGCAAAGGTATTCTCTGCACCAATTAGGATAATGATATAATTTTAAGTTAGCTTTTCTTTCTTAGTGACTCTTGCTGAGAATTACTGAGGGTGGACAGTTGAAACTGCCAGCCATATGCTGGGAAGGCAATAATTGTCGCAGGTGGAGCTAATCCATTCTGTAGGCGTGGTCAGCTTGGTGCTACCATATGTGCGTAAAAGACACTGCTCCCTGTGTCCCCTTGGAGTAATTATCTCTGTCCTCTTCTGTCTTTTGAAGTGTGTGCTTTAAAAACTTTGATTAAAGGAAGTAACTACGAAGCACAATATAAGAAGTCATACAATGTCTTTACACATAAATGGCACATTAAGAGAAAATGTATTTCTTCAGGTCGTTCTGCGCACAATAGGTATCAGCGGCAATCAGGCTCCTGTGCTGTGGCCACAACAAATTGATAACAAAGGAGGAATAATGCCACTAAATGCTTATGCACTTGATTTCTATAAACATGGTTCCTTGAAAGGATTAGTCCAGGACAACAGGTATGTTTTATCTCTCTGTATCCATATCCATACAATGACTTTAAAGAAATTTAGGACAAGCATAGATTAACCATGCTAAATGTACTGGATCATTTTCTTCAAACTAATGGCAAGAGTGAAGAACAAATTCTGCGTTTTTTCTCAGTGATTGACCAGCAAAATCTTGGCCCTTGGGCTGGTTCACTTGACATAAAGATACTCTAACTGTATAAATGTTTTCACATACTCAGAGATATTTCTGTTCATTCTTATTCTACTTACTCATTATTAGAATTAAAAAATGTTTGAATAACAATACCATACTATCCATTGTCCGAGAGGAATATGAAGTTCTTTAATGTTTATATATCATTAATTTTCAAAATATTGTTTCGTTTAGGATACTTGAAGGTGAAGCTTACTCATTACTGAAAGATTTTGCACTCACAATTAAATCTATCAGGTATGTGATATATTTTAAATATTGATTTCCGATTGTCTTAATAATTTAAAGGTAATTTAAAAAGTGTTGAGCTCTTACTATAAGTCAGTTACGTGGAGGTGCCATTTAGCCTCTTGGGTGCTATGCATTTCAACTCCCAAGTCTGTGCTGGTCTTCTCCTCCATAACCTGTTGCATGGTTTCTGAAATAGAATTAACACCAAAGACCATTTGAGATAAAGCTCCATCTCTCCAGAACCTCAGTCCCAGGCACCACGTACCAACAGGCAACAATATTTCAAAGCCTCATTGACCCCTAGACACAATCAGCGTGTGTCAGATACATGATACTTCAGAGGGCTCATTAGGTCTACATTAGGTCTCTGGTTTACATCTACTCATACTCTTGAATCTCTGCCTTTCACCACTGTTTTCTTCAGACCTCACCCAGTTCTGATCTCTCATACTGGCTTGCTATCTTCATCTGTAAGAGATCCCAGTAGGAACCCAGGCAATTCTGCTCTCCATGTGGATACCCCAATCTCTAGGTGCCATAGATCACTGGGTGTTGCCCAGTTGAATGTCCATCTTCCTAAAGCCTTCAGTCTTATTGCACTTCATTACTTGATAGGTTTCTCTTCATTCTGTCTATAAATTTGCCATGAATCCCTTCTTTATGAGGTTGTTGCTAACTGGGGCATGGTTCTTTATTTCTGTGGTCTATTTGAGCTGAATCAGGTCCTTTGGACTTTTTCTACAGAGAATGAAACTTTTGGGATGCTAGAGCATAAGTGGTTTGCTTTACCAACCTGGGCTATTTCTAGTTAGAGTTTTTCTTTCTTTTACTGAGTTTTTGGTGAAAGTGGCCACAGCAAGTTAGTTCCCACTCGACAATTTCCATACAAATTGTTCAGTGACATTAGTTACACTTATCACAGTGTCAACATTCTCTTTAATTGTTGTTCTGTTTGTTCCATTTCCAGTACTCTAGTTTCCCTGCCCCCTTATCTTCTCATCTTTGCTTGTGAGTAATTGTTGATCTTTTGGTTTCATACAGTTGGTTTTTAAGTAGAGCACTGATCTTACGAGTAATATCCTTTATTTTGTGTGCACTCTGCTATTTCACTAAAGGGTGATCTCGGGATAGGCTCGGTTCTAGGTTCTAAGACTGTCTCAGGGCAATAGTCTCAGGGAGTCCTCTGTTCTCTACTGTTCCAGTTTGTCTAGTTTTTTTTTTTTTAATAAGAATTTGAGTTCTCCACATTTTTCTCCCATTCTATCTGAGACCATCTATTGTGACCCCTGTCAGAACAGTCAGTGGTGGTAGCTGGGCACCATCTAGTTCTTCTGGTCTCAGGGTAGATGAGGTTATGGCTCCTGTAGACTTGTTTCTACTCTGAGCTTTTGGTTACTTTCTTACTGTTTTGCTCCTGGTGAGTAAAGACCCATAGTTGTGACTTAATGGCCTCTGACAAGCTTTTAAGACCCCAGATACTACTCACTTCCCTAGGATGCAGATCATGATTTTTCTGAACTATGTTACATCAGTTGACCGAGTTGTCTCATGAGACTGTGGTCCTAAGCTTTCAAACCCAGAAAACCAATCTTGGAAGGTGTTTGGTTATGTCTGAGGAGTATCCGTATTTATGTCTTCAATGATTATATGTGCCTGCACCCACATATTTGTATTTACACATACCCATAGATACTTCTCTTTGTTCTCACCTCTGTACACACCTGTACCTGCTTGTATACCAACATGCCTATACCCATCCATATGTGCTCAAACACTCATTTATACTTTGGTTGTGTTGTGCTCACTACATCCACATTCGGTGCCATTTCTCCCATCACCAAAAATAGCAAGTCTCTATGATCTAAAGTGTACTTTTCCCTCCCCCCTTCCTCTCTCTGGTAACCACCAATGACCACTGGGTTTTCTATATATATACATATATATATATATATTTGTCTTCTTATAAAAGAGGGATCACACTATATTTGTCTTTATATGCTTGACTTATTGCACTTAGCATTATGCCCTCCAGGTTCATCCATGTTATGTTTTGTGGACTCATCATTGGTCTTTATTGTTGTGCAGTATTCTATGGTATCTATGTGCCACTATTTGCTTATCCATTTGTCCGTTAATGAGTACTTCGGTTGTTTCCATTTATTTGCTATTTTGAATAAAGCAGCAATGAACATAGGTGTGCATATGTCTGTCCTTGTCTTTATTTTTAGGTCTCTAGGTGGTTAAGATCTCAGCTGCTAAACAGAAGGTCCACAGTTCAAATCTACCAGCTGCTCCTTGGAATCCCTACGGGGCAGTTCTCCTCTTTCCTAATGGGTCACTATGAGTAGGAATCAACTCAGCAGCAACAGGGTGGTAGGGCATATACCTAGGAGTAGGATTGCTGGATCATAGGGTAGGTTTATTTCTAGTTTTTTGAGAAAGTGCCATACCATTTTCCATAGTGGTTGTACCGTTTTACAGTCCCATCAGCAATAGATAAGGGTTCCGATCTCTCCACAACCTCACCAACATTTGTTGTTACTTGTTTTTTGTTTTTTAATCACTGCCATTTTAGCTGGGGTAAGATGGTATCTTATTGTAGTTTTGATTTGCATCTCTCTAATGGCTGATGATTGTGAGCATCTTTTCATGTGTTTTTTGGCCGCTTGGATGTCCTCTTTGGTGAAGGTTCTGTTCATGTCCTTTGCCCATTTTGTGATTGGGTTGTTCGTCTTTTCATTGTTGAGTGGTTGCAGTTTTGTATAGATTTTAGAGTTAGACCTTTATCAGATAAGTCTTTTCGGAAGATTTTTTTCCCAGGCTGTAGGTTGTCTATTTACTCTTTTAATAAAGTCTTTTGATGAGCATAAGTTTTAGTTTTTATAAGGTACTATTTATCTATTTTGTCTTCTTCTATTCGTGTGTTTGTTGTTACGTTTAGTATCTGATTTGTACAAAAGATCAGGTACCATAGTTTTCTTCTGGGAATTTTATGGTTTTAGGTTTAACATTTAAGTCTTTGGTCCATTTTGAGTTAGTTTTTGTGTATGGTATGAGGTATGAGTCCTGTTTCATTTTTCTGCAGGTGGATATCCAGTTTTGCCAGCACCATGTATTAAAGAGACTGTTTCTACCCACTGAATGGACTTCGACCCCTTGTTGAAAATCAGTTGTCCATAGATGGCTTAGTTTAATTCTGAGTTCACAGTTCTATTCCACTTGTCTATCCTTGAACCAATAGCAGGATGTTTTGATTACATGGCTGAATAGTATGTTTTGATATCAGTGAATGTGCGGTCTCCTGCTTTGCTCTTTTTCTTCAAAATTACATTGGCTATTCAGGGTTTCTTTCCTTTCCGTGTGAAGTTGGTCATTAGTTTTTCCATTTCAGTAAAGAATGTTGTTGGGATTTGTGTTGGGATTGCATTGTATCCATAGACTGTCTTAGTTAGAATCGACATTTTCACTATATTAAGTCTTCCAATCCATGAGCATGGGATGTCTTTCCATTTTTGTAGGTCTCTTTTAGTCTACTGTAGTAATGTTTTATAATTTTCATTGTATAAGTCTTTTATGTCGCTGTTTACATTAATTCTTAGGTATTTTATTGATTTCAGGGCTGTTGTAAATGTACTATTTTCTTTATTTCTTTTTCAGAGTACTCTTTGTTAGTGTAGAGGAACCCAACGATTTTTATGTGTTGATCTTGAACCCTGCAACATTGCGAAATTCTTCTATAACACTTCCAGCAGGTTTCTTGTGGAATCTTCTAGGGTTTTCTATGTATAGGATCATGTCACCTGCAAATAGAAATGGTTTAACTTCTTCCTTTCGGATTTGGATACCTTTTATTTCTCTTTCTTGTCTTATTGCTGGGTCTAGGAATTCCAGTACAACGTTGAATAAGAGTGGTGGTAATGGGCATCCTTGTTTCATTCCCATTTTCAAAAAGAAAGCTCTCAGTCTTTCTCCTTGAATATAATGTTGGCTGTTGGTTTTGTCTATATGCTCTTAAATATGTTGAGAAATTTTCCCCGATTCCTGTTTTGGTGAGAGTTTTTATAAGGAAAGGGTATTGAATTTTACTGAATTGAATGCTTTTTCTGCATCAATTGATATAATCATACAGTTCTTTTCATTTGTTTTATTTATGTGGTGAATTACATTGATTGATTTTCTAATGTTAAACCACCCTTGTAATGCTGGTATGTATCCCACTTGATTCATGGTGTATGATTT